TAAGTTGAGGCGCCCCCTAGGCCATGTATCAGAAATAGGTAATAAATATGCACTAAAAGCTTACACATGTACTTTTTTTCCTTGCACATGCACATGAAAAGCTTGCACATAAACCATTTAGTCCTGATGTAGGCCTGTTTTAGTCCTGGGATCAGTCCACATGCGACGCAAAAGTCCGGCATCGCAGTTTAAGTCATGGAAATGGAATATCTGTTATCCGTTTCTTTTTTCATTATTCATGTAAACACAGAATTGAAAACTGAAAAAACTAATCGTTATCCGTTTTTTCATTTTGGTTTTGGAGACAAATAATGAAGAAAATAGTTGTTTTTAAATTTTCTTATTTTTAGTTTTATTTTGGAAAAACAAATGAACTCACGATACACTTATTGAGATCTATGGGGGCGGAGACTCTGCTGCTCTCTGATCTCATTTAAATTTTAGCTCGCACACACAACTGTCCCTTGCACGTACATTTATCAAACACGTATCACAGCACAGTTTTGATTTGGTAGTGCACTATGTGTAAGAGAAAAGTGGTATATGTGTGTGTTTTTTGAATGTGCATGTGCAAGACAAAAATTTAAAGTAAAATGTGTGTGAGCTTTTGATGTGGATGTGCAGACAAAAGTGGTGCATGTGTAATGTAAATGTAGTTTGTGTGTGAGCTTTTGACAGACATGCTCATGACAGAAATAGTTTATGTGCAAGCTATTTATCAGCATGTGCAAGAAAATGTAGCGTATGTGTAAGCTTTTCATTCATGTGCATGTGCAAGAAAAAGTAGTATATGTGTAAGCTTTTAGTGCCTATGTGTGACCTATTCCTGATAAATGGTCTAGCAGGAGCCTCATATTTAGTTAGTTTGTGTCTATAATGAGTCATAGAAGTTCATAATTCAACCTTTTATAGCTCAAATGTGATGGTAGTACAAAAAAAAAATACTATTTTCCCAATACTGCAAGCAGAAGTTCCCATGAAATATAATTGACCCCCAAAAATGATTGTTCCATGTATCGTGTGTTGAATGATAAATCAGTATAACATTTATCGTGACAGGCATAAACAACAACGCGTGATGAAAACAAATGTTATTAATTACTATGATACATTAGCATTGATTTGGCAGTGGCTCAGTGACTAGAGCACTTGCTGTCCAACTCAGACATCTGTGGTTCAATCCCTGCTGACTTATTGTATGCTTTGGCAAGACACTTCATCCACTTTACCCATGTGTGACGGCAGCGTATGAGTGATTTGTGATGGTCGGAGGAGCGCTCATTGGCTGCTTTGTTCTGCTTTCCTGGACAATATGGCACAAATAACGAGACATGACAATAGTGTAGCGCACATGATTTTCAAGCTCATACAGACGCACGGCAAATCTTATTTCTATTGTTTGAGCATGTCATACTTAAGTTGGAGTACAGTACTTGAATTCACAGTCTCAAGAGCATAATGGTACAGAATGTGTAAGGAATAAAATGGCTGTGGATTAGCTTCCATATATTAACCTATGAAGACTGTGCTACTGTTTATTTTGTGTGATTTTTGGATGCTTATTTTGACAGACAGTGGATCTGCTCAGTCATTGTATCCTTTGGCAAGACTCTTCATCCAGCTGAAGACAGTGTATGAGTTATTGTGACGGTTGGAGGAGCTGATGGTGCTGATTATCTGCTTGGTTTCTGTCAGTCTACACCTGGCCACCGTGGCAGCAACAGCAGCTACAACCACCAATGACGGAGTGAATGAGTAATCACTATAGTGTAGAACGCAGGATTTTCAAGATCACACAGATGTATGGCATTATTATTTCTATTGTTCGAGCATCCTATTCTTCAATAGTACACTACTTGAATTGTATAAAAGAAACCATTTCAAGAGCATAATGGATTATATAAGTAAGCTGTAAAGGATAAAATGTCTGTGGACTTACATCCTTTTCAGATTAACCCATGAAGACTATGCTGCAGATTTGTGTCCTTTTTGGATGCTTATTCCGACAGACAGTGAGTTGGACATCGGATTTGCTCAGAATTCATATTACTGCAATAACAAATGAGCCATGTATTGTAAGCTGTGCAACATGCACCTCTCAGCCAACAGAAGAATGCTGTATCTGTCTTTTGCACAATGCACATTTCTGACGCCAATCAGTGGATTCCAGACACTTTTAATCACTGAACATCTTCTCTTTCATGACAAATCACATATGATGATCACACACACTGCCTGCACCTATCTCCCTCTCTCTCCCTCCATCCATCTCTCTCCCTTCCTCTCTTTCTCTCTGTCTCCCTCCTTCTCCCTTGTGTGACAATCGCGTATCGTTCGGTGACTGAAACTGATGCGATGTCAATGCTGCAATCACAGAGCTGCCTGTCTCTTCTGCTTGATCCTTCGGCATGATGAATGGAGGCTGTCTTTGATCAGCGCGCCTGGCATAGTATCCAGAGACCCACGCAGACAAAAAAGACAGAAAGAAAAAAAAAGAAAAAGAGGAGGCCAAGTGTATTTACCCCTGCTTTTCAATGCTCTATAATGACTATTCATGTCCAGTCACTGCACAACAGCTTGGAAGAAGCAAAGAGCAGATTCAAAAGCCGCTAATAGAGAAGATCTGAGGGAACATTATTGCTTTTGCAGCTTGTAACAAATGCTTCAAGCTATTATAATTATTACTATCTGCCCAGAGACACGGTCGGCACAAATTGGCTCTGTGTCAGTAATTAAGAGATGCACCCCTCGCCTCCTTTTTGGGGAAGGAGGGGGGGATTGAGGAGATGAGTAGAATTTTTATGGTGCTGTGTTAAAAGTGTGCAGAATTTTAATGCAGGGCCAGAGGGAGATAATTTGACCTCTTCTTTCCAAAAAGGGGGGACGCTGGGTTTGAATCTTATCACCTTTTGGGATGTTTAATTATGTAAAAAGGAATAGCAAATGGAAATCTCAGCAGCTAATTTGAATGTAAGTCGTCCAAGGGGTGACCAAGACAATTGAAATCAGTTCGCGGTAATGACACTTTCAAGTATTTTTTTGTTGTTTTTTTTTAGATGTTTTTTTCATCAGCTCTGACTCTTGGGGGCGTACTTGGAACAAATAGTAAGCAAGAGAAGTTCATAGTTTCTTTTCGAAGACAGTTAATTTTCACATTATCACCAGAGTGTTTTGGACATGTTGCGCTCTGGTAGGTCTGTTAGGTCTGTGCACTTTCTCCTGCTACTTCTACTTAATTTTAACAAGCCACTTTTTGTGTGTGCATGTACTGTAACTTCCATTTTATTAGGAACCAACACACTAAACCGATACATATTCTATGCATAATGTAAAAACTCTATATGCACCCTGCTTTTATATATGCTTTTTTTTTTTTTTTTTTTTTTTTGGTTTTGTTTTCTTTGTTTGTTTTTAAAGTCCTATATTTTGACAAATTGACTCATGTGAGCTGAAAGTCATGTTATAATTTTATTACCTCCTCAAAAACGCACCTGGAGTTGTGTTCTGTTTCATTGTCAGGTGTTTGAGTAATCCTTTATTATTAGTCTGTCTACATCTCCAAAACTCGAAATGCTCTGTTCCACCTTGTGATGTCATGAAGTTAACAGTCAACTTTAACTTTAGTTCACAATTCCAGGGCTGAAATTATCCAAATGATTCTAGTGAAAGTGTATGGAGTTTAAAAACACAGTGGAGCATTTTCACTACCACATGACATCACATCATTTTCAGTTTGAAAGAAGAACTCAGCCTAAATTTGCAAGGTGTGTGTGTTAAACATGTGTGAATGAAACAAAACACGACTCCAGGTATATTTGTGATGAGAAAACAACATTAGAACAGAAATCAGAAAATGGAATAACCCCCCATCCCTTTAAGTGGATGGGGAGGTTGGGGACATTATTTAGAGTAGGGGGTTTTCAAACTGTGGCACAGGTGATGAAGAATGACTCTGGGGGTATGCAAATAAAATTGCCATCTTGTTACTATTTGAGAGAGAATTTGAATTATGTGCATCTCTCAGGTTTTAGGGGTAGATTAAATTAGACTAGATTTGTTTATTTCATATGGGATGGTGCAATAGCTTTAGCCAGGCTGGCGCCACCTTGTGCCTCTGCTCTATTTCATTTCTCTCCAGCGACTATATCAGGAATCGGAATACACTAGATGATTTGCAGGAATCCCGGAAGTTGTAAACGCACCCGACCAATCAGCGAAGAGCTGTGAATCAGTGACGTCAAACTCAAGCACCTGTCTGGGTCGTTTTTGTGGTTCAGTACAACAGTAAACAAAGCGGTCAA